ATGTGAAGTCAGAATTGATAGTGCAAAATTGAAGCTTGTTCTTCTCCAGAAATTGACTGTTCCTAGAACCTGGGGTGAAGGTTGGATAAATATGGGTCGATGTGGGAGACACAGTGTTCCTTAGATCCTTTCCGTGAGCCTAAGCTTCTTAGTACCCTTCTTGGGAACAAGGATGAAAGGGAAGGCAATAAGAGCTTGGCACCTAGATTAGCCAATGCTTTTTAAAATTCAGCTCCTACTGAGAAAATAAGGGGCAACATGTTTGGACAGGCTTTCTGAGCTGCTGTTCTATAAATTTCATCTAATATATATTTTACAGTCCAAGTACAAGGTTCAATATAAATTTGCTAAGTACTCAGCTATTTGATATTGTTTGAGTCAGAGGTGCTTCTGACTTGTACATACCTATTTTGTTCCTGTCAGGTAGACAATCCTTTGTCCAGGAATTGCTCATTTCCTTTTTCACAAGGTATGACCGTAGGCTTCAAAGGTTTCAGGGACCAGACTGGATTCTCTGGAATGGTGGTGTCCCTTACCCTCCGTTTGTTTTATGTTATGGAAAAGTGAGGAGAAAGACAAATGGACCTTCTCGAAAATGGGCTCATTCTGTAACCATTCTTTAAAACATTCTCCTGTTTTGAGCTTTTACAGAAAGAAAAAACCCCAAGCACCTAAAACTAGAAAGCTGAGTTCCTTGCTCTTCTGGGTATTGTCCTGCTTTCTGATAGTAAACAATTATTTCTAAGCTGATTCTAAGGTATGCTTGGCGTTGTATGCCTAAGCACCTGTCGGGGGAAAAAAATTCCCTCCCACTTGGCACAGGAAGTATCAGCTGGTCAGTGGTGGAATTCCTTAATGAACAAGCTCCTGCCTTGTCAATCCTCCCCACCTGTCTTCCCCCTGTGACAACTGGGACATGCCATAGACAGAAAATCTGACCCTCCCTAGCACCCACTGAGAAGGCGGTGGGCCCTAACTGATTTGGCACATTGGCGGACTGAAGGATCTCAGGTTTGATTGCAGTCAAGGGCACATGCCTGTCTTGCGGGCTCCATCCCCAGTAAGGGGCGTGCAGGAGGCAGTTGATTAATGATTCTCATCATTGATGGTTTCTATCTCTCCCTTTCTGAAATCAATAAAAATATTTTTTTAAAGAGAAGGGGGTGGAATGTAATCATTTGGACAATCTTCAAAGCAGTCCATGGGATAGTCATGAAATGTATCATTAAGGAACTCTTTGTATACAAAGATTCCCTTCAATTTAGCTTCAAGTAGCTTGATGAGATTGGACCTGGGGGTAGCGGGGATAGTATCCCATTTACATAAACAATTTGTTGGAGGCTACTTCTTAAAAAACTGACAAATAGGTTTAAAGAAGGTGAGAAAGTAGAAGTCTGAAACGTGATGTTTGGTGAGATTGTACATATTTCTGTAAAGGGTTGGATCAGAGATCTTAAAAGTGGATTCTAGAGGAGGCCCATACTGAAAAGCTAGTGGTTGAAGGGACAGGATTACAAGGAGAAAAGGGCTCCTGCCCCCATGAAAACAGTCCACAATCCTTCCCTAAATTCTGGGGTTTCCCTCTTGTTCCTGTGAGGAAGCCCCTTAGCTCCCACCCTCAAGTAACTGGTCTGAGGTGTTATGTGTTATATGTATTATAAGGTGGGGTCTCCTGCCTCTCAGCCCTGCATTCCCTCCCACAGGCCTACTGTGGTCTGCACTCAGGTCTCAGCCTCAGAATAAGCAGTGAGCAATCTGTGGATGTATGTGAGTGGTGAAGAGACCACTTCCCAAGTCAGCTGTAGGGTTCTGTGCAACTACAGTTGATTCAGGAAAAGCTCAGTCATTAAAGAACTTGGGGGTGTAGGTAGGTAATTAAAGGCAACAGAGTTTAATGCAGGACTGTTGTTTGTTTTTCTCCCTTCACACCCTCAGCTGATGTACTATAGGCACAGATAAGAGGGAGACAGGAAACTCCCATTAGCAGTGCTTCCTGAGCCCACTGACAGCTTCTACACCTGATGCTGACTTGGGGGCTTCTCCATCACTGGGCACTATGTGAGCACAGAGGACCTGGGAAGTACCTCTCAGGTTTGGCTTAGGGTTCTGTGTGCTAATCGACTTCCCACTCAGCCTCTAATACCTGCCTGCTTTTGTTCTCAGAACCTTTCAGAACAGCCTTCCCTAAGCCTGATCACCAAGTTCTTGCTGGTTCTGACCGAAATGTTCGAGGTGCCCCATTTACTGGTTTGCTCTTTGGCTAATGGCACCATTACTCTACCTTTCAGCCTGCTGTTGGGATCATAAGGATATTCCTTTAACAGTCCAGAACAGCATGCTGTGATCACTGAGCCGCAGCAGGCAGCTTTGCAGTTCTTCACTTCTCTGCTCACCCCTGGGAGAAACAGACGGCATTCCTTTGGCCAGGGAAAGCACCCACCCCATCCGAGGGGAAAACCCTTTGTTTTAAAAACTATGCACCAGCCTGCATACCTATGTGGTGAGGCAGCCCAAGCTTGGTTTAGGGTACGGGGGCGGGGCTCAGTAATAGGATGATGGAGCAGCTATTTTCTCCTCCTACACGTGCACCCCCATCTGTTCGAGATTTCCCTTCCAACTCCAGCTTGGCTGGCAGGCATGTCCCTAGGAAGCTGCAGGCCAAAATGGAGAGAGAGAACTGAGTGGCTGCCAACTGCCAGAAAAAGAGGGCAACATTTGGGCATTTACCAGGAGACAAGGATGTGCCTTTTCATTTGTCTTTTTATTTTACATTTAAAAAGTGGTTATTGCTCTAACTGGATCAGAGGTAAGGACCTCTCTCCCCTAAGGAGCCTTGGCCTTGCAGCCCCATTCAGCAGGGATGGAAGTCACAAGACAATGAGTGAAGCCTCATGCCCTCCCATGAGGAAGCCCTTAGTGTTGCTGACATCTGCCTTTACCCTGTCTCTCCTCCCTCCCTATGTTCCACACTCAGAAGTGGTGGCCGACCCAGCCCTGAGAGCTCTTGTAGACCGGAAGGAAGGGTGGTCACTGGGTGATGGCTTTCAGCTCTCTGGCTTGGGGGCTATTGCTCTTAATTCAGTTCAGCAGATATTCAATGAGCACCTACTGTGTGCCAGGCTTGTGCTAGGCGCAGTGCTCCCAGACTCCTGTCCGTAGCCACCACTGGAAGACGCAGAGGACCTTCTCTTCTGTGCAGGCATTCAGCTGCCGCAGCTTGTCAGTCCTAGGGAAGGTTCTGCCTTCCCTTATCAAGCACCAGTTTTTTTTTGTGTGTTTTTTGTTTTGTTTTTTACCAGAAAGGGGCAGTGGAGAAAGACCTGTCACCTCACACCACACAGGCTCTAGGGAAGGACATGAGGACCCTGGGTAGCTTTCACAGAATCCTGGATGAGATGGCAAGATATGGAGACCCCAGAGGCCACGGCTGCTCTGACTGAATGGCTCAGGCCTGCCTTCCGGCAGCTTCCACCACAGCGTGGTGATTTAGCAGCCTTCAGGATGTCCCACGGGAACGTGCCTTTCAGTTGTCCAAGTCAGCACTGATACAACTCCAAAAGGCTTTCCTAATGAAATGGGGCCAATACCTTCCAGGTATCTTTCCTGCATTTTCTTCTTAAAACCCAAGACGGATGGTCTTACAGTCAAAATAAGGGCCAAAGAAGACAGAAGATGCAGGCAACCAGCTCGGGGAATCCCTATGGCCCTCTGGAATGAAGCCCTTCGGTTGTGTTTTCCAAGAGACAAAACAGATAAATCTCACACACACACACACAAAGTTGTGCATCGCACCAAAAACAAGTCCTTAATGGCTGAATCCAGAAAAGGCTCCATGGCAGCCACGCCCCTGCCCGGCAGGAAGGCCCATGGCTTCCCTGACGGTTCTTGGTCTGAAAGGGCTTAAGTCAGTCTTGGTGCTTGTTATCTCCCAGCAGCTTTGTGCATCTTCTCAGAGAGGAAGGCCGTCCAGGAGACGCGAGGAGGCAGAAAGAAGGCCGTGTCTCATGCAGCTTTGCCTTTTCCAGAATGGGGCCAGGCCTCAAGTTTTGTGGCTTGTTTATTTTTTGCAGAATTTGGGTTTGTAGTTCAGTCTCCTTCACCAGACTAGGACATCGGGGAGAGAGAACTGTGCAGCTAGCCATGCCTCCCCCTCCACCGCAGTCCTCCCCCTCCCTGTGCCCGTGGACCTGGGAACCAGCAGAGAAGAAAAATGAAATCTTTCTCCCTGTAGACAGGTAGTCACGCTTCGATGACGTTCACCAAGAGCTCGTTTGGAAACTGGGAGGAAGAAATGAGAGAAGCGGCCAGGGCTAATTGAATAGACTTCTCGCAAGGTTGGAAGGAAACAGAGGACACGAGAAGGAAGGGAGCAGCAGGGCTGCTGCCGGAAAGCCAGGCTCTTGTCCCCTGTGGAAGGAAAGGAGTAGCCCTGCCTGCATGTCTTGTCTCTGCTGTCGCAAACCCAGCCTACGGCCTCACTCAGCTGAATGGCCAAGTCTGGGTCCTGGACCCACTGCCCCCGGACCCCGTCTACCCCCAGCAGAGCCATCCTGCTGGCTGGTTCTCACGTCCTGCAGATCTGCCTCTCAGCGCAGCCTCAGCCACTGACATTGTTGAGGTGCTTCTGGAGATGGGGGTTAATAAGAGGCTTCAGGAAAATGCGCCAGAAAGAGTGAAGCCAAGAGAGAGGACAGTAAGCCAGAGGGTGCAAGGAGATGGAGGGAGGAGGAAATGTAGAGAGGGCCAGATGTTGTTGGATATCATCGCCTGAACCATGAGATCCTCTCACATTCTCTACTGTCTTCTGAGCTGCTCAGAGCCAGCACTGAAAAGGTTTCATATCTGTTTTACACAAGAGGAAATGAAGGTACAAAAAGGTGAAGCACCTGCCCAAGGTCACAGCACCGCAGCTGCAGAAATGAGCTCAAAGCCCATCTCTTCTTGCCCCACACCAACCAAGAGTTCTGCCCTCCCCATTCACTGCCCCCCCCTGCTTTAACCCCCACTGGCCCCTGGCACCCTGCAAAAGGAGAGGATCCAAAATCAATTTGCAGTGTCCCCTGGGTCACACAGGCAGTAGCCAAGCTTGGCTCTGCCCAGCTGTAGCCATGCCAGACCCTGAGCTGACCCCTCTGCAGTCCAGGGACTCCCAGTGCCTGAGCCATGGGGCCACCCACCCCGGTCCAAGCCCTGCCCTCACCTTGCTGCGGAGAAGCCCCCCGCCTTGGTGCTCTGGTGTGCTGGTTTCTGACGCACTCTTGGTTTTCTCCTTGTTGTTATTGGGCTCATTGTCCTTGATAATGTCATACTGGCGGCAGAAGAGGACAATGACGCCTGGGGGACAGGGAGAGCAGTCAGAGTCCTTGCCCACCTGCTCCCTTGCCCTGAGTCCTTGCTGAGCTCTGTTAGGTACCGAGCTCCAGATGGTCTCTCACCTACTGCCACAGCCTGCCTTGGCCTCTGGCTCCTGTGTCCACCTGTCCCCTGACCATCCCCTTCACTGCTGCTGGATTGGTCTTCCTACAACATGCATCTGATCATGTCTCCTCCCTTCCCTTCTTTTAAACCTCTGAATCCTCCCCCTTTCCGTTAGGGGAAAATAGAAACAACAGCGTTTGTTGAGCACGTGCCAACCTGTGCTGTGCACTGACATATTCCAGCTCACGGAGTCCTCGTAGCACTGTGAGGGTCCCTATGACCCTCCCCAGGTGAGAGTGAGGACACTGATGCAGAGCTTAGGTGACTTACTCAAGGTCGCTCTGGGGTGAAGCTGGCGTGTGCACCTGGGGCCTGCACTCTGTGAAATGTTTATTTTATTGAACTAATACATGATAAGCATAATAAGCTTTTTTGAAAGTTGGATAGTATAAGGCAGCCAACTCCAATTCTTGTTTTACCCGTTTTTACTTCTATGCTTGATTTATAGTGGTTATTTCTTGACCTATCTGTTCTAGATATTATCTCTTGACTTCCCACCATGGCAGTGTCAGGGGTGGTCAGGGTGGCCTCTGGCCGGAGACAGTACTCTGCATCCTCAATTCTTGTCTTCTTGTAGGGACGAACTCACATGAGACAACAAGCAGGCGGAAATGTATTTGCAGAAAAGGAATACACTCAGATATTGTCTGAGCAGGCAACTCAGCCACCAGAAATCAAACCAAGTGCCCTACTTAGTTGGGGTTTGGGGTATTTATACCCTTAAACTGGAGTGCACCTAAGTAAGTCTCTCCCTCCCTTATTTCTCAAAAACAGTATCTTCAAGTTATAAAGTTCCCTCCCCCAGGTATTAGGCCACCAGTTAGACCGCATCCTGGAGGGGCTCTAGCTCTTCTCACATAGGGGCCTGCCACCTCCATCGTCTAACTGTGGCGTGTCACGTCTCACACGTATCCCCTCCAAGCCCTAGCTGCCTTTCCCAGCTCATATCTTTTGAGCTGCCTCCTCTAACAGTAGATAAGGCCTAACAACTCCCCTGCTTCCTTCCCCATCACCCTAACAGAATTACATGACAATTTTGGGTTCATTCACTATGTTTATATTGTTACGATTACGTAAAAGCTATCTGTGCCAAGTCTAATAAAGCATCATAAGCAAACCTCTTTTGTATAACCCTTTTCCCCCAAGTGCCTGTTTACGTAAAAGCTATCTGTGCCAAGTCGTATAAAACATCATAAGAAACCCTCCTCTTTTGTATAACCCTTTTCCCCCAAGTGCCTGTTTTTCTATGAGCCTATGGGAGCTCCCTCTCCCCCCGCCCCCCAAATTCTTCTACCCGAGAGAGCCTGTCCCTTACCTACATGCTAACATGGCTTAGGCATGTTCAAGTTCCTCCACACAGACTCCAGTCACTTCACAGCCTCGCCATCCTTTACTCCCCCACTTTCTACCTTCTTTCTTGGGTCACAGCTGCACTGAGCTAACTGAGCTTAATTTGTTTCTTGAACACACTGTGCCCAGAACACCCTCCCTTCCTTTTTTTGGCTGCCAGGTGAACTCCTATTCACCCTTCAAAGCTCAAATCCTATGTTACTGCTCTTTGCGTTTTTCCTGTTTTCTACTCCTAGCCCCAGAGTTAATTCCCTCTCCACTGCTCCCATACACAGTCCTATAATAGCACTCATCTCATTGAATTATAGCTAACACGGGCCTGGCTTCTCCCAGACTTGCTTGCAAGCATGAGGCTCCTCTTAGCCATAGTGGTAGCACTACCTGGAATGCACTATCTGGAATGTAGCACTATGTACAATGAAGTGGCTGTTCAGAAAACGCTGATTGAATACAAAAATGAAATTTGATCTTTATCCTCCGGGAGCTTACAGATAAGTGGAAAAGAGAGAGAGATATAAGCCCAACTAACTTATCTAAGAAGGGCTGAAGAGAGGGGCAAACAGTGTGCTTGGAGGCATCGTGGCAGGAATGACCTAGTGAATGGGCTGGGGAGGTTATATGGAGGCGGTCTCAGAGCCGGTCAGGAGGAGTAGGTTAAGAGCGTGCCCCCACCCGGAGCCTGAGGGAGGGGGAGAGAAAATACGCCTATGGTCCTACAAGGCAACTCTCGATATGCTATTTTTTTGGTGAGGGCTGAGTTAGAGAAGGGATGGGATCTGGTCCCCAGAACTGTCCCAGGCAGGACTTAGAAACTTCTGACCTCTTAGCTCTCTCCACGCCCCTTACCCTTCGTTTCTGTGAGAGAAGGGGTCTGGTCAGGTTCTCCCCTTCCCAGGTTAAGTGAAGAAGGGCTGGGAGGCCAGACTCACCGGCCCACATGAACAGGACCACGACGATGATCAGCACCTCGCCTGTCTGCAGCTGCTGGTTCCGCCCCATCTCCTTCATGGTCACCTCATCTGTGGGGAGAGAGACACGAGGTCTGGGCTCCTTTCCTCCCCCAGCCACTCCTCTGTGGCCAAGCCCAAGAAATTAAGCGCTTCTCTCGGTATCAGTGCCCACACATCTAACGAAAAGAGGTTCTAGAACAGGCTGATGGCTACTCGGGGTGGCAGCGATAAGGCAATCCAAAATAAGTGTTTATATACCCATTGTATTGGGTCACTAGAGTGACCTCCTCTCTCTTAGGTACTGCTATACTAGGCAGTGGGGGGAGGAGGGGAGGAGAGGGAAGGGTATGGGAAATTAGTGCTTTCTTCAACCTCCTACTTCTCTGGCCTGACCAGCCCTCACTCCACCATACCCCATCCCTTCCTAACAGTGCCCGGGCCTGCCTTTGTTCTTGGAGGCCATCTTCTCAGCCTCCCGCGGCGTCTTGAAGAGCACTGGCTCGCTAGCCGGGCTCTGGCCCTGGATGGAGATGGCTTGCACGTGCACGATGTATTCCGTGTCCTCCTCCAGGTCCCAGAGGGCGCACGAGCGGGTGGTGGTGTTCACCTCCTGGATGAAGCGCAGCATCCGCACATCCTTCTTCTGCCAAAGCAAGAGCCAGCCCAGTGTTTTCAGTGCCCAGTCACCACCCCATCTGCCACCTCTCCAGCAGCAATAACGGGCTCACCTGGCTACCATGCTAAGCCCTTTGCAGACATAATCTTACTTACGCATTCCACCATCTCTGCAGATATCCTTATCTCTATTTTACAGATGAGACTGGTAGAGGGTGAGGGAAGTTGCCCAAAGCTGTACATTTTGTGAGAACTGGAGCCAGGTCCAAATCTCAGGTCTGTTTAAGATCAAGTCCCAGGTTCCGAACAAAGGCTCCAGAGCCCTCCCTCACTGACAGATCCCCTCTGGGGCCCCCTTTTAAGCCATAAGTGCAACTTTTCTGCCAGTCTGTCCTGCGCCTCAGTCCTTTTCTTTCTCCTCCCTCACCCACCAACATCTTCCCTCCCAGAGGGTTACCTGCTGAGAGATGGCAAATCCGATGACAACTTCATCCTCCAGGACATCCCAGCTCACCACCGCGGAGTTGGCCTTGAGGTGCCTGACAGTGACATTCACTGGGGCGGAGGGGCTGTCTGGGGTTGGGGAGGCACCTGAGCCTGAGCACCCCCTGCGGCGAGGCTCAGGCCCACTGTCTCATGAGTGAACCTGGGGGAGGCCATGCAGTGGGGGGAGGAAGAAACCAAGGCCTCCCTGGGGTTGGCACATGGACCTCAGTTCCTTGGTGGGTTGCAGGACCAGGCTGGAGAGGCCCCAGGCTCCTTGTGTCCAGGATGGGAACCCCAGATGCCCACAACTGGCCCTACCAGGGGTGCAGGCTAAAACTGAGGGGCCTGGGCCAACGGCATATCTAATAGAGGGGCATTAAGAGGTGAGGAGCCAGGGGTGGGGGAGACCTAGGTGGCCAGGGTTCAAGAGCTGAAGGTTAGTCTGATGAAAAGCAGTCAAGAACAATCCCCGGCCAATGCTCTTTCCACAGTACTCACTGCCGTGTCAAGTGCGTGACCTTGAGGACGGGGAAATCCCACAGGTGGAGAAGAACCAGGCTGGGGGGAGCCCTGGGGTGGGAGTTAGGGTCCAGGGAGGAACCCTCGGTGTTGTGGTGACCCAGGCAGAAAGAAGCCTGTGGAAGGGCCTGTGAGCCCCAAGAGGCAGGTGGGGAGGTGATAGGGGAAGGTGGGGTCACTCAGAGCAGGGCCCCTCAGCCGAGAATCAAGAGTACAGGGTAGGTAGGGCCTTCCGGATGTGGGAAGAGGATGAAAGGGCGTCTGTTGAGAAGGGAGTAGGAGGAAGTGATGGGGGCACAGGGTCAGGGGAGGAAGACCCTTCCAGGACAGGGGCAATGGAGTCACAGCCTCCGTATCTCACAGGGGCGGGTGCTGACGGAAAGATCTGGGCATGAGCAGCACCCCTCACCCCACAGATGAGTGGACTGGGCCCAAGGGGAGACAAAGCCAGACGTGGGCCTGGAGAGAGACAGAGGGACACAGACAGGTGGTGGCAGACACAGATCCAGAGGACAGACAAGTGGGGTATGAGAGGCAGACACAGAGATGGGAGCGTGAGCAGTGAGGCACGAAGAGATGGAGAGAGGGAGAGATGAAGGCGGCAACAGCAGCCAGAGGGGAGGCTGGGCCAGGACGAGGCCAGGCCCCACGGGACAGGCCAGATGCGGACTGCACCGGGCTCAGGGGCCACCGTGGCCCACCCGGTGCCTGGGTGCCAGTCCCTATCCTCACACGCACACTGGGACCCCACGGTGCCCCCTCCCTCTCCGACCTGCAGAGTTGGCCTGCAGGGCTTTGGGGACAGGGAGGGAGGCCCAAGGTGGGGGATTGATGTCCTCAGCTGTTCCTCGGCCAGAGAAGGGGGCTAGGGACCCGAGGCAAAGGCTTGGGCTCAGGGCAATGGTGTGAGGGGACTGAGGTCACAAGACCCTGTCCCCCAGGGCTGGGATGGCCGGGAGGGATTTGGGGGCTGGAGGAAGGGTTTGGCGGTCAAGAAGGCCGGGAAGAGGCTGGGGGTGGCATTAGGGAGCAGTGAGGGGCAGGACCGGGTCCCAGGAAGCGGGGGAGGGAACTGAGGACTCCCGCCCCCCGGGCCCGGGCCCCCTTACCCGCCTGCACCAGCGCGAGGCAGACGCA